ACATTGTCCGCTCCAGCAGCGAGCCTCGCAACGTCCCGCCAGCACGGCACCCAGACCCCACGCAGCATTCTCATCTGCTTGTCATTGCAGGTGTCATTTCCTGGTTGCTAACGCCATTGTAACACATAATCACTGATGTTCCGCGAGTGGGCGAGCTGACCAATCAGAGCACAGTGGGCTCATAGGGAGGGGGGGGCAGGAGCTCCAACAAGCCGTTTAGGACAGAGAGTGAATACACATACTATACAGAGATGTTGTATGAGAAACTAATGTGATTTTGGAACATTGAACAATGTAAATCTATTCTAGTAGACCTCAACAATGAAATTATGATCAGTAGAAATGGCCATGTCATGGGACCTTTAAGTCTAAGTGTTGAGTGAACCTGAAGTATCAGTTGAGGGAACGGCACTGAAAGGAGTTGACTTTGAAAAAGTTAAAATTAAGACAGAATGTCAGTTAGAGTGTATGTCCTTAAATAAATCAGGGCCAGATTAGATGTTTAAACTGAAAGACTATGTCAATTGAATGGTTACAACAATTTGAGTTATTTGTGTATGATCAATGGAAGTTGTGGGACATCAGGTGCTCCCACATGATGTAAATGTCAGAAGAGCCACCCGAGCCCAACTCCCAACTCGACTTTGATAGAAAGCTTAAATTGCAATGAATTATAAACGGCCATCGTCCCAAATGTTATTGCCTCATTATTGTTGACAGTTTGTGTGAAGAGCCTGAAATATAAAGTTAACATAATAATAGAGATTTCAAATGAAACATTCAAGGTTGACATAATTGGAGGATGAAAGATGCATGTTTCCTGTAGGAACTATTCATATGTAATCTTACATTTCCCATGTGTATGGAGAGATTTAATAACACTTGCTTATTTGCTTGTGTTAAATCTGAACCATTCATGTATCTATTTAAGTGAGTACTTTTATGGTATATTACTGACATGTTGACCACAAAACATAATAAATTAGGCCATGAAATGTACATATGTTTTCTCTTGATTTGCCATTACCATCCAGGGTGGTGGTTATAAAGTATGCCCAACCTGGTCTGACAGTAAGTGTAATTTGTGTGGGTTGAATGTTTGTTAATTCTGTTCAGTTTTCCGCTATCATTAAGCCTTATTTATTGAATTACCAATTTATATATAAAAACTGCAGGAGCATGTTGACAAGGATTGGGGGTTATATAATACAGTTCCACTAAGCAGGAGATTGGCATTTAAAGAAAAAATACTGGATGCTTTGTGGGGAGAACATTGTAATAACTTGAGTAAATAATACATTTACACTTTCAATTATAATTGAACTGTGACAAGAGAACTGTTTTAAGTTGTTATTTTAAATAACATTACTGTCAGCACCTATTTATTATATAATTACACAGTTTCATTTGACTTAGTTGATCACTTTATTGTTTTTATTAATTTTCTCAAGTTATCTGAACTCATTGACCTTCTCGCCTACATGACTTGAGGTGGGAAATTTTTGAAAAAAAGCCAGTGCTAAGAGAAGTTAGAGTATCAGTTTAAGTCTGAGTAAATGAATAAAGGTGAAGTGTCAGTTTAAAGGTCCCATGACATGCTTTTCTGGTTATTACCCGTCCCCTTGTGTGTTATGTAGCTTTTTATGCATGTAAACAGTCTGCAGAGTCACAAACCCTCAAAGTGCACCCTGTAGCGAGTACAACTCTAACACAGAAAATACCTGTCTATACTGACCCAGAACGCCTCGTTGGATTTTTCTTTTTCCATTTTTTTCTTCTTGGGTATGTGACGTATTGGGTGTAGTGACGTAACGGTTCCTCACACACACACACTCACTCAGCCTTATCTTTTCTCAGCTGCAGCTCCGCGGATTTCTCAGCCTGAACTCAGCCTGAGACAGCGAGACACAGCTAAACTCAGCCTGAACTCAGTCTGAGCACACACACAAACTCACAGCCAGGCTACGAGTGTGTGTGTGTGCTCAGGCTGAGTTCAGGCTGAGTTTCGCTGTGTCTCGCTGTCTCGCAGACCCCACGCAGCAACCAGGAAACGACACCAGTAAGCCAGCTCACATTGTCCGCTCCAGCAGCGAGCCTCGCAACGTCCCGCCAGCACGGCACCCAGACCCCACGCAGCATTCTCATCTGCTTGTCATTGCAGGTGTCATTTCCTGGTTGCTAACGTCATTGTAACACATAATCACTGATGTTCCGCGAGTGGGCGAGCTGACCAATCAGAGCACAGTGGGCTCATAGGGAGGGGGGGCAGGAGCTCCAACAAGCCGTTTAGGACAGAGAGTGAATACACATACTATACAGAGATGTTGTATGAGAAACTAATGTGATTTTGGAACATTGAACAATGTAAATCTATTCTAGTAGACCTCAACAATGAAATTATGATCAGTAGAAATGGCCATGTCATGGGACCTTTAAGTCTAAGTGTTGAGTGAACCTGAAGTATCAGTTGAGGGAACGGCACTGAAAGGAGTTGACTTTGAAAAAGTTAAAATTAAGACAGAATGTCAGTTAGAGTGTATGTCCTTAAATAAATCAAGGCCAGATTAGATGTTTAAACTGAAAGACTATGTCAATTGAATGGTTACAACAATTTGAGTTATTTGTGTATGATCAATGGAAGTTGTGGGACATCAGGTGCTCCCACATGATGTAAATGTCAGAAGAGCCACCCGAGCCCAACTCCCAACTCGACTTTGATAGAAAGCTTAAATTGCAATGAATTATAAACGGCCATCGTCCCAAATGTTATTGCCTCATTATTGTTGACAGTTTGTGTGAAGAGCCTGAAATATAAAGTCAACATAATAATAGAGATTTCAAATGAAACATTCAAGGTTGACATAATTGGAGGATGAAAGATGCATGTTTCCTGTAGGAACTATTCATATGTAATCTTACATTTCCCATGTGTATGGAGAGATTTAATAACACTTGCTTATTTGCTTGTGTTAAATCTGAACCATTCATGTATCTATTTAAGTGAGTACTTTTATGGTATATTACTGACATGTTGACCACAAAACATAATAAATTAGGCCATGAAATGTACATATGTTTTCTCTTGATTTGCCATTACCATCCAGGGTGGTGGTCATAAAGTATGCCCAACCTGGTCTGACAGTAAGTGTAATTTGTGTGGGTTGAATGTTTGTTAATACTGTTCAGTTTTCCGCTATCATTAAGCCTTATTTATTGAATTACCAATTTATATATAAAAACTGCAGGAGCATGTTGACAAGGATTGGGGGTTATATAATACAGTTCCACTAAGCAGGAGATTGGCATTTAAAGAAAAAATACTGGATGCTTTGTGGGGAGAACATTGTAATAACTTGAGTAAATAATACATTTACACTTTCAATTATAATTGAACTGTGACAAGAGAACTGTTTTAAGTTGTTATTTTAAATAACATTACTGTCAGCACCTATTTATTATATAATTACACAGTTTCATTTGACTTAGTTGATCACTTTATTGTTTTTATTAATTTTCTCAAGTTATCTGAACTCATTGACCTTCTCGCCTACATGACTTGAGGTGGGAAATTGGAGGTACAGATTTAGCTGAATATCAATTACCGGTACCACTTTACAATAAGACTACCCTTATAAAGGATTCATAAAGGGTTTATTAATTAGGTTGTAAACACTTTATTAATCATTAAGAACCATTTATAAACCAGTTCTAACATAGTTTTCATACGTCAACACAGGCTCACTATTTGGCAAGGTGATTAAGCCTTATATTGGCTACCTAGCTTACTTCGTCTTCTTCATCAGCCAGCATCCTTGGTATCTGTTGTTCATTGAGTTGATTCCCCCCCATCCATCTTGATGTTTCTTGGCATCTCTTTATGACCATTTATTTACGAGTTACTAACATTTATAGTTGCCAAAAGGGAGCCTTGTTGTAAAGTGTAAAACACATTCCCATTTATTAATGAGTTACTACCATTTCTAATAAGGCTTAGCAGTACAGATAAATGTGGGCTCACTATTTGGCAAGCAACCGGTCACAGTTGTCCTGTTTATCTCATGTCTTATAAAAGCTTATTAAGGATTTATAAAGTGTTCACAACCTAATTAATAAATTCATTACAAACTATTCGTAAACCCTTTATAAGGGTAGTCTTATTGTAAAGTGGTACCCAATTACCTGCTCCCATTCACTCATGACCCCATTGTGAATGGGGTCATGAGTGATAACTTAGACTGTGGCAGCCCGCCAGAGTCTATTGACAATGTCTGCAACCCACTAGACTCATCTAAACACACACCACTTGAGCCATGATTTGACAGTGTGACTTTTTTACAATGTCATCACCAAACATAGTGAAAGCATTAATTGTCATATAACAGCTAAAACAAGTATATATTTTTTCCTGGTTAAGTTTGTGTGTGTGGAGGGGGCAGAGTGGAGTGGGGGCCGTGCATTATATATTTTTTAATGTAAATGACACAACTTTAAACTTTTTTTTTTACCAGAAATGGATTAAAAAATGACAATAATCCTCATAAATCAAACCTATTTTAATTCGTTAAGCACCAGATTGATGCATTTACTTTAAAATGTATACAATGGTATAAAATATATGAGAACATCCCCCGGCCCCACCCAAGGCTCCTGTCAACATGAATGTATGTGAATGGGGTTAAGATAAAAGGGACACATGAAAAGAAGATGGATTCCTCCCAGATAAAATAATTGTCTGTCTCTAGTGATCCCACATGTTTATAATAACACACAGCCGCTTCAATCAGAGAGATTCCACTCTGCTTATAACTAGTCTGTATCCAGCTGTCAACATTGCCCGCTTTGGGTTTTTAATGGTATATCATATCGAGTGTATCCGTTGCCGTGAATAATTTGCCCATACGGCTATCAACTTTTTTCCTATTTCAGAAGAAAGGGATCTGATTGGCTGTGAGATCCATGATCCTCTTCTGATTGGTTGTTCCTTGTTTCCGGGGCCCCGCTGTGCCCTCACTGACGTTTCTCGGTCTGCCCCGAGATAGACTGGAGAGAATGGCTGCCAGTGGAGGTTAGCAAAAAAAATCTTCATTGTTTTGTGTAGTAATCTGACTTAAATCATGCTTTTAAAGTTATAATTTGTGTGTTTAGATGCTTGTGAAGTGTCGTATTATAGAGTACTAGAAAGAGTCGTGACATGTTGTATTCTCGTTTAAAAAGGTCAGGCTGTAAACGACTCCTGAAAAGTGTTGGTTATCGTTAGCCTCGCTATGCGGCTAACGTTAGCTGTCAGGCTAACTTTCGGCCGGTTAGCCTGCTACCCACAGCTGATTGTGTAAACACTTGTTTATGACAAGAGACGAATGTTAGACAAGAAGTACTCATACGTACTGTTATCAGCAGTAATGCAGTTGACAGTGTGCTAAATACATATGTGTTTGTCTAAGATTGAGACTGGTCTGGCAGCATTTGAGTTGTAATATCCCTTTATATCTCGCAATGTTGTGTCAAAGAAAGCTTGCTAACATTAGCTTGATACCTAGCTGCTAAAAGTTAAGCTTGTTGTCAACTAGCTAAGGTAACGGGTAGCATTTCTGTTTTTGTGATACTCGGTCATTACAACGAACCATTTTAATCTATGAAATGTTTGGTTTTCTTCCAGTTGCCTTTAAGTTAATTGAGCCTCCCGACACAGTTTCGGCAGTCACCGGGCAATGATCATAGATGTTAGCAAGCTAGCTACCACCTGGTGAGACAGTAGTTTTCAATGCATTCATCGCGAGCCTTTGTCCTGTCAAGGAGTTAGCGTCGAACAACACGAGGTATTAGTTGGAAAACTATGTGCTCCTTGGCTGCTGACATTATAAGACGACCGTGAAACATTAGAGAAGGAATGACGTTTGGCTGCCACTTGTTTAACTTGCCATTCCACGCGTGATAAGAAACGTGTTTACTTTGCAGACACTTCTATAGGGGAACTGGATGCACGAGTTGATAGGCCCATATGTTATCCGTGGGTTCAGTCGGTCAGAGAGACAACAACATTAGCCCGAAGTCAGAAACAAAAATAACTTGTAGGAATGTTTTCTAGTTGCCACAGTCTGGCCAAATCATAATACCTCAAATAATATTGATTTTTTTTAAAGTCTTTTTTGAAACCTTAATAAATGGTCTACCTTTCTGTTTTTAATAGAAAACACTGCCTTAGTAACATTCAAAGTATACAACTAAACCTGTTTATCCATTGTGTTAAATTAATACTAATATTCATCTCGGTGTCATCTCATATTCTCTGTTGTTTAAATGCATGAAACAGTACATGTGTTACTATTAAACCATGTTTTATTTGCACAACCTTTTTAATGTGATTTGAATTATTATTAAAGTTCTGTAAATGAAATGGAACAGGAATGACTGTTTACCAGTAAAAACTGCATGAACTCAAATTAAATCGTTTGTATTTATGATTGAGTCTGGTTTTTCAATGTATTTTTTGATGTCCACACTGTTTTCATGGGTGCTATTGTAATGTTTTTCTCTCTCTTTGCACTGTGTTTACAGAGGTAGGGAAGCTGTTACAAGTACAAAATGGGACACCTCCAAGCAACAACTACAACGGAGTAGATGCTGTTCATGCCTGTCACCTCCTTCAACAGCTCAAATCCTTGTATGATGAAGCACAGCTCACAGACATCGTCGTAGAAGTGGACCATGGCAAGACTTTCTCATGTCACCGAAATGTCCTTGCAGCAATCAGCCCATATTTTCGGTGGGTAATGTTGAATGTTTATACATTTTTGTATTTTCAATATTTTGTAGCTGGTAAAACATTACTTGGCTCTAGAGTGGGCTTCGGTACAGCTTAATCGATAAATGTTAACATATTAAGATTAAACTTCCATGTCAAGTTGTAGCATGTTTGAATTGAAATGCTGTAGTTATGTGATGATTGAAGTATAGTTGCATCATTTGTGTTTTCTCCACCATCACCACCAGGTCCATGTTCACCAGTGGCCTTACAGAGAGCAGCCAGCGTGAGGTCAGAATCGTCGGGGTGGAATCTGAATCCATGCACCTCGTCCTGGACTATGCCTACACATCCAGGGTCACGCTCTCTGAGTGCAATGTCCAGGCCCTGTTCACTGCAGCCAGCATTTTCCAGATTCCTGCCTTGCAGGACCAGTGTGCCCAGTTCATGATCAGCAGACTTGACCCCCAGAACTGTATTGGGGTCTACATGTTTGCTGATGCTTATGGACATCAGGAGTTGAAGGAAAGCTCACAGGACTACATTCGCAAGAAGGTCAGTTTAGGAATGTGTGTCGTTAGTATTATATCCTTACCACACTTACAGGTACTCCTTATTAATTTGGTTATTTATCAATACTCTTATTCTGTTCTTTTTTCAGTACTAAAAATAGTTTTTTTAAATAATCAATTCACAACAGGACAATAATTTATTTTCATTTAAACTACAAGTATATTTTTAATACAAGCAACATTTGTGGCAACAGTCATTTTTACCAAACACCAAAGTCACCATATAGAAGAGAGACTGAATGTTTTGGTGTCATTTATTATCCTGACAAAGCACAGATTAAAAAACCTGTAACGATATAGTTATACAAAATACTGCGTTAAATCATTTAGCTCTAAGACCCATTTAAGACCTGGGGCCTCATTTATAAAGGGATATACGCTCAAAAAATGGCGTACGCCAGTTTCTACGCAATGTTTGCGATTTATAAAATACTAACTTGACGGGAAAATGTGCTGTCCTCCACGCAAACTCTAACCCATGCGTACGCACTAAGCACAAAAACGGGAGAGACGAGAAACTGCGACACCGTTGGCAGAAGGAAGAATGGAGAGAAATATGTGGAAATAATACCATAAATAAAATGTTACCTCATTTATCAAATATGAAGAATTCATTTTCAAACATTGATTAAAGCCAATCTTTAAATGATTAAACAAACGCCTGTTTGAGACTCCTCAGTGCACACAAAAACATAACTTGGAGAAATAAATAAATACAGATATGTTATTTAAAACCACCTCGAATATGTTGTGTTAATGTTATGAAATGTTTTCTCATAAATGATGCGGTAAGCAGGAGGACAGAATAACGTCTAAACTGACGCCGTTTTGCATTTCTATAGGTTGTAGATACGAGCATGGTTTTATATACTATCACGTTTAATCGTGTTTTATGCCGTTTGCCAAGACTTGATAAGTCGCTCGTAAAACACAGGAGGTATGGAAACTAAGAACACCATATGTGGTAAATTGTACAGCTAATATAACACAATCCATTAGTTGTATTTCCTTTAACTGGTGGATTATGGATATATAGTTGCTGATCGACAGCTGGAACACAAACCACCAAATACAACAAAAATAATTCAGATCCAGTCGTCATGACTCCACTCCGGAGGGATTCCCCCATCATTTCTTACAGTTTCTCATCAAGGGGGTGTCTCCTGTCCCCGGTACAAACACACTGCCTGAGGAAGGTTATGTGTATTTTTTTTGTCATTAACTTTTTTCGGACCACTTATTTATTTATTTTGGTGACGATCCGACCTCCATGCTGCTACTCTGGTTCAAACTGCATCCACCAAACAATATGATTTATCTCGACCTCCCCAAAATAACCTAAATCTGACACGGTGTGAGATGTCTTTTTTAGCTGTTCTATCGTCATTTCCTGCGATCTTCTTCATGCAGTCAGTCAGAATGAATGAATGAATGGGCGTTTCTTTGACTATGTATAGGCAAATATGGGCGTTACGAGTCGATTGTGATTTATAAAGGGAAACAGGCGTAGGGAGTGCCGTACGCACTTCCCTCGCCGGTACGCAATGTTTTGTGAATTGGAAAATGGCGGAAAATGTATGTACCTATTTTTGTGCTTTGTACTACGTAAGCAACCTTCCTACGTCAATCCTACGCAAGGCGTTATGAATGAGGCCCCTGGTGTCTGTACCCATCCCCAGTTATTAGTATTGTCATTAAATGTCTACTTCCCCTCAAGGTTCTTTATTGTCAAACTAACATAGCTACAGAGTAATTATGTCGTTGAAATGTAGTCATGCTTTCTCTCATGAGTCTGTTAGGATGCTAAACACTGAAACCTTTTTTTGTTTTTGTCGTAGTTCTTGTGTGTGTCATGGGAGCAAGAGTTCCTCCAGATGAACAAGGAGCAGCTGGTCAGCATTTTGAACAATGATGACCTCAACGTGGAGAAAGAAGAGCACGTTTATGAGAGCATAATTCGCTGGCTGGAGCATGATCTTTCTGGTCGTCAGGCCTCCCTCGCTGAGGTGTTTACCGAATGCATCCGTCTGCCCTTGCTGGATGAGGCCTTCCTAAGTCAGGTACCTGCCCCCTTCGCCTGTGCCCTATCCCTGTCTACCGACCCTGCTGAGGCCAAAACCCGCCTGACTGGCACCAATGGTTGCCCGCAGCGCCTGGGTATGACTGCTTCTGAGATGGTCATCTGCTTTGATGCTGCTCACAAACACTCAGGGAAGAAGCAGACAGTGCCTTGCCTTGACACAACCACAGGACGGGTGTTCAAGCTCTGCAAACCCCCCAATGATCTCCGGGAGGTCGGTATCTTGGTGTCTTCAGAGAACGACATCTTCATCGCTGGAGGTTACAGGCCGAGCAACAGCGAAGTGTCCATAGATCATCGGGCAGAGAGCGACTTCTGGCAGTACGAACACGCGGGCAACCGATGGCTTTCACGCGCTCCGCTGCTGAGGGCCAGGATCGGCTGCAGGCTTTTGCTCTGCTGTGGGAAGCTTTATGCACTGGGAGGCCGAGTATATGAAGGCGATGGACGAAATGCTTTAAAGTCAGTCGAGTGCTATGATGCCAGAGACAACTGTTGGACAGCAGTGAGTGCTATGCCCGCGGCCATGGAGTTTCACAGTGCTGTGGAGTACAGGGACCGCATCTATGTCCTCCAAGGTGAGTCCATGCTGCATGTGAAACTATATGATCTCTACAGGGCGCTGAAGACAATGTGGTCTCGTCATATTTCTCATTAATTTAAACATTCAGAAAATATGTACAGTATTTAAATCTTATATGAAAAAGATTTAAGAGAAAGTATGTTGGAGAGACTGCTTGCCTCAAAATCAGAAGGTTTATTTTATAACTTTTTTCCTGTGTGTTGGATATATCAGTTTTAGGGATGTCTGCCTTCTCTGGAATATAATTGTAACTAGAATGCAATTTCTTTTTGAAAAAAACGTAATAGCATGTGTCTTTCCGGATATCATGACTCGGTTACTCAAGATAACCCACAGACATTTTTGAAATTAATTAAAAATTAATTTATATGGTGAGCACTTTCTTTTAAAAAGAAAATAGTCCCTACATAATGGGCTTAAACGAGGTCTGTGGCGTATATGCGAGAGAAGCCAGACCTGTGTATTTGTATTTCCAAAACTCACCCCAAAACAATCAAGCTTTGATAAATAGCACTAAATGTAGAAGTTCAAATATGTATTGTCGAATGAGAAGAAGTTTCCCTTTTTATTAAAGCAATTGAACACATCTCTAAATAACACCTTTCCTTTGTTTTCAGGAGAGTATTTCTTCTGCTTCAATCCCCGTAAGGACTATTGGAGTCACCTCGCCCCGATGAGCGTCCCTCGGAGTCAGGGTCTGGCTGCCTTGCATAAGAACTGTATTTACTACATCGCCGGCATCTGCAAGAACCACCAGCGCACCTTCACCGTGGAGGTCTACGACATCGAGAAGAGCACATGGAGCCGTAAGAAAGATCTGCCCTTTGACCAAGCCACCAGCCCGTATATAAAGGCCATGGTGCTGCAGGGCAGGCTGCACCTGTTCGTCCGGGCCACACAGGTCATGGTGGAGGAGCACGTGTTTCGCACCAGCCGCAAGAACTCCCTTTACCAGTACGACGACGACGACGACGAGGCAGAAGCATGGACCAAAGTCTACGAGACGCCCGACCGCCTCTGGGATTTGGGCCGCCATTTTGAATGTGTGGTGGCCAAACTGTACCCACAATGTCTCCAGAAAGTGCTTTGAGGTCGCTGGATTTGTGAACCCCAATCTCTGAGGCAGAGGGAGATGTGTGGTCCTGCCTGCCTTGTGCCTGGTGTTTCCTTGGGTTTGCACCACAGGACCATTTTTTGGTTACGTCTTAAGTCTTTCAAACTTTGGTTTAACATGATCAAACTGGGGGTACTTTTAAGGATTGCAGTATTTCTTTATTTTCAGACGGCACCAACTACTCTACATGGATGCTTGTTTAAAAAACAATACAATGAATCATAAGTGCAATTATCATATGTTTTGCTTGTTGTTGAGCCATGTTGTTCTATTTTTTGTTTTAGATAGATATAGGTAAGGATTTTTACAAATGATAAGCATGCAAATGAGGGTATTGGCAAGATAAAAGTGCCCTCTGGAGATGTGGATGCTACGTGTCAGCATAAAGTGAAAATCTATATATATAAATAACTATATAAACTATATATTCATACGGGTAAGATGATCACCATAGCTCATTAGTAGGTTGCTGGCTCTGAGGTTTGTGTGTGTTTTGTTTCCTGTTCTGTTCTCAAGTCTTTTCAGCTTATTTTATAGACTAGTTTTAATTTGAAGTGTGCTTGTGATTTATATTACCTTTGTGTTTTTGAAGCTTGTATGACATTTTTTTAAAGCCCCCCTGTTCCTTCACATGCGTCACTGTGTCAAACAATACACTATGTGTGGCTTCCGAGCTATTTTTAAGTTTTGTTTGAGATTCCAGTTGCATGGGGGCTCATAACCTCCCTCTCTTTAAGTTGGCATCCATTCTGTGTCACATGCGAAGACAACTTAAGTGAAATGTTAGGATACTCACTCTCCACATTGGAGAAATAAGGACGGAGTCAAATTGTGGCAACACTAAGTGGAACGTTCAGACCAACTAACAGGCTTACCTCAGAAACTTCAGACATGTTTGATTAGGAGAAAAGGGACATTTAAGGCTATAGTGATGATGAAGCAACTGTGAAAAGCTCAGTGGAGCATTGAGCTCTGTTGAGGTTGTTTTTCAACGTTGGATTATAATCATTAGAAAAAGGTTAAAAGAGCCTTCCTCTTAAATGCCAAAACAAGCATTTGAGGTCTTGTTATAGTTGATCTGGACATTGAAAATAATTGTGTGGTAGCAATAAGTCATGGAACTGTGCTTAGGCTATATTATATTACCTTAGTAAAAGTGCATTAATTGTTTTGTGTGCTTGTCTCTGCTCGTGAAAATCACAGTAGTTCAAATGATTGTGTGGCTGTTGCAGGTGAAGTGATGTGTCATTTAGTGCAGATTATTTCGGATGCCAATGTGCCTGTGGCTTGAAAAAAAAAAAGAGGGGGGAACAGTATCAAAAACTGCTCCTTGTGATGAAGAATATCTCAACAGTCTTACTCAGCATTGCACTGAATCACTCTCCACTTCAGCGGTCCTTCACTGCAGACTCTCTGGAGCACCCTCCCGAACAAGCAGACTATGAAAAAGCGAGGGTTGCTCTCGGGTCGTGTGCTAATTCATCCAACAGCCATGAATCCGTCTTCAAACACCATCACACCGAGGACACAAAATTGTTGGTGCTGCTTTTTTTTTTTTTTTTGACAATCTTTGTATAGAAGAATTAATACCACCACTGAGTGGCGTTCCCTGTGAAAGTGTGACATTTTTCAGTGCCGTCAATTTCCTCATGCAGGTTCCTGTCATCTTTGCACTACACATTTCTCCTGTATTTTATCTTAGCGAAAAAGAACCCCTCTATCACGAAAAATGTTTGAATAATCACATAGCAATCTAAGAGATTTACATGGAAATTAAGACCAGAAGAGTCACACTCGTTAAGGACTTGAGGATATGACTTCTCCAAGAGAAGATCCACGGTTTTGACTGACTTGGAGCTCATTTTAAACAGCCACATCCACATGTCTACAGACAGCCATTTGAGAACCAGAAACGGAGAACTCTCAGGATTTCTACTGATACACAGTACTGTATTTAAATGTTTTTGTTATGTGTAATATACTGTACTATAGGTTTGCTGTACTTGCACAGTTTTTTAAAACTTCTCTTTAGTTTTCTTTTATAACTTGAAAAAAAATAGATGTGATTTTTTCTTTTTGTTGTCTTCAGTGGCTGTTTTTTTTTCTTTCTTTATGTGTTTACCTATTTAGTTATAGTAGAGTAATCCTGCTCTATTGAGAAAAAAACGATAACCCGCACGAGTGATGCATTTTGATTTCCTCCCCTCAGTAATACAGTAGTATTTCTTTGTAACATCTCACCGAAACTAAGCATTACAGATCGCGTAACTCCACTGAGTGTTACGTCACGTTTTCAAACACCAGTCATGTAATACAACAAGCTAAAAACTGCTTTCTGTGTTCAAAAGTTCTACATAGCTAATTTTGGTCATTACACGCATCACTTAAGGGTGCTATGCCATTGTGCTCATGCTTTTTCTTTGCTGGTTTGTATGTTTCCGGGTTCGGGGTTATAGTGGTGGTTGAGCTCAACTGTGAAATTCACATTGCACATAATTTGAAAATAAAACTATTAAAAGTGAAATGTGTTCCTTTTTTCTCGCCCCTATTTTCTTCTTTTGCACACAATTGTTTTTGTCTAACCCAAGTCACAACTAGAGATGTGTTATGTGAGAACTAGAGTCTCCACACTGTAAACTATATAGACAAAGATGCTGTAACAAGGTCAGACACAGCAGTGTGACCTTTATGATTGAGGACATGCAGAGGAGTCAAAGCTACTAACTAGTCAAAACTGCGAGGAAGCCCCCGGGCCATCAGTGTAACACGTGACGACACTTCAAATAAGGCAGGAGGAGGTTGAAACCATGGATGTATAAAGAAAGCTGTTGAAAACGAGACGCTCATTCAAAGGTAACATATTTTAAACATGTGTATTCGCGTGTCTGTGTTTAGTTCTTTAAAAGTCATAAGTTTAAAGCAGCAGTGACGTGTTATCGCTGATTTCGCTCATTGTCCACGTGTGTGAGTATTTCCTCCTGTACGACTACTACTCACGATACTTTCTTTGATTGGAAACTTATATTTTGTGTTTGCCTTGACACCTTGTTGTGTTACAGTTGTACTGTTTTTGGAGGAAAAGCTCGTTAGGAGGACAAAGGGGTAACGTAGCGTCTCTCGCTTAAATTATTTGTTATATATTAATTTTGTGAATTCAGTCAAATATCTGACGTAACTTAGGATGTTTGCCTGTTTCAGCACTAGACACACACGACTGAAAACTTCAGTTTTAAACTGCTTTTAACAGACTTAAGTTACTCTTTTGTCAACGTTGTGACACTCATTATTTTGCACACTGTCACATGCTAGCTCTGTATTCGCCATTAAGGGAGAATTTACTAAACATTATCATTTAAAGGCGCAGTAAGTAAATGATCATGAATGACCGGCGTTTTCACATTTATGTAAAAAAACGTTTCACAGTCACCTAAATGTACTTGTCATATGCCTATATTGTTAGTTAATGTGTTTAGTATGTATTGTTTGGAACTTTATACACACTGTCACATGCTTGCTGTTTATTTGCCATCAAGCCGGTCTTTTATTTTGAAATTCGGCAACACAGTTGTGTTTGCAGAGTGAATAGTTAAGGCAAAGGGATCAATTCTGCATTCAAATATTCTACTTTTTTTTCAGGATACAGCTTATATTTTGTTGTTTTAATAATAAACACTTCATGTGTGTTTTCCTCTCCTTGAACAGGAACATGTCCCCTGCTCCAGCAGATGAGTTGGGCCGCAAACCCCTGGATGGAGGTTGGGGCTGGATGGTTGTTGTCGGGGCTCACATTTCCATAGGATTTGCATACTCCACTCCCAAAGTGCTATCCATTTTCTACAAAGAGATACAGGAGAATTTAGGGGCCAGCTCCAGTGAAATAGCATGGATTTCCTCCATCATGCTAGCTGCCATGTATGCAGGCGGTGAGTTGACTCAATCCGACTTGTTTCTTACAACAAAACCATACACACACAATGTGTTTTGGTGAGGTACAATGCAGACTACCTGTCTTTTAATTGACTCAGTGCAGTATCTTCATTTATGCTACGGCATTTGTAATGATCAGTGTTATTATCTAAAAATGTAGACCACATTGTTGTTGTGTTTTCTTATACATCAGTAGGACGTACAGTTCATCTTGTGGTGAGCACGGTTTAAAATATGTTTCACCTTATTACAAACAATGTAGTCTTCTTTTTTCGATTGGGATAAATGTTGATACTGCTCATCTTTCAGGAGATTTTTTTTAATTAAAAAATGTAAACAAAAAAGGAAAGAATCAATCTCCAAAAAGAATACACTACACTACATATGCAAAACTTAAAAAAAAAAAAATTGTGACCATGATATTAACTGACTAGGACAATTTTTTTATTGATAATAGTTCTCTCTGATGGACAAAGTAAAGCACCTCAAACATGTCTCGATATATATTTATCAATATATACTGTGTATATATGTACTGTATATAGTTGTACTGCTTTAAAAAATTAAATTTGGCTCACATATACGTGATATGTGCACCTGAAATAACCTTATATCACCAGATATAGACACTATATATATATATATATATATATATATCTCTCAAAAACTCCATGGTACTTTAAATACAATAACTTAAAACCCAGAGTTGCCGCAGAGAGGTTTTGAACTCTGTTAAAGTTCATGTACCTTCAAGCCATCATTGGTTCTGCAGCCAACACCTCTAAATCAATCATCTTAACATGAGTTGAGAACATCTTTGTCCTGCGGGTTAGAATTCTGAGCATTTGTTTTTCTGTCTAGGTCTCTTTGTATTGTATCGTGTGCTCTCAGCGCTCTTACACACCAAGTTCACCTCCACGATATACCTCTGATAATCGTCTTCTGATCAAACTCCTTAAATGCCTCACATCTCTTCAAAGTTGCACTTGAACACACCACAATGGGTTAAGGGCCAGCGTCTACAGAGTAAATACCAGTTTTACAGCAAATCATTTCGGTATTGGGCCATCATGTCTACAAGTATAACAACAGTTGTGCTGTATAGTAATTTGGACCTGATAGATAATGTATAAATTGTCTTCACATGACTAACTCCACCCACTCAAATAGTGTTAGGCTGCCTAATAAGAAGAATGATGTTTGCATGTGTTGCTCACCTGACTCAAATTTAACTTTCTGCCACTGACAGGTTACTTTGAGTCATTTATGAGAAGTCTTCAACTTTAAGACTTAACTAGAAAGAGTTTTGCTGAGATGAGACCATATCTTGTGATCCCTTCAGACATACCACTAAACGCAGCCAACAACACAACACTTCTCTGCATTTGCAATATGGGGGTGCCAACACACGTGCACATGCAGGCTTGGGGATGCATTGGCAAATGTAACATGTGCAAACCATAGACCACATGTGTCAAACTCAAGGCCCGGGGGCCAAATTAGGCCCTTGGTGGATTTAATTTCGGCCCGCAGGATAATTTGTAATTACTATTAGATCTGGCCCGCCGGTATATTGCACGCACACCTTCACTCAATCCTGAGGATCTCCTCAGCTCAGAGCCTGAGCCCAAACATTGATGACCTTGCACCCAAGATGAGATGCCAAGTATCTGGCTTGAACTAGCATCACAGCAGCAAACTGAGCTCAATGGATGTTTCCTTCTGCACTTTTTTTCTTGCGACAACAGGGCATGTTTGTTTTTTTTTATGAGGGAAATTGTTTTTTTGAAGCTGTTGTTGGCCTGTGGAAAAATGTAATCATAAGAAATGCTGCAGATAGAGCCATAAGAAATGAATGCAACTGAATATTTAATGTTTAATGTTGTTTTTATAGGCAATAATTTAAGCTTTGTTAGTTCCAGGTTTAATATGTGCAATAAGTTCATTTCAATAAGTTTTGCAATAAACATTGAACCAGTCCGGCCCTCGACTAGTACCCATTTTTTAATTTTGGCCCACTGTGTATTTGAGTTTGACACCCCTGCCATAGACTGTGTATATATAAAGGCACAAGCTTAATTATTGGTAAATTACATCGTAATGGGATTGTTGTGTTTTTATACTTGGCATAACACAACCACAGCTTTATAAGTTCATGTTGGTATCGTATTTGTTTTTTGTTCCCTCAAGCTAAAACTGGAATACTTGGAAAACTCATTAGATTACATACAATTAAAATAATTAGAGGTCTCGTGGAAGATTCCCTTGAATAACTAGCTGCTTTCAAGGTTACAGCACGAACTGGGTGTGTGGCTCACCTGCACTCAGCTCAGAGAGGCCTAACTGGTGAAATATTCCTCTCCACTGTGGCTCAGGCAAAGGGCTTTATCATATTGTCCTTGGCAAGGCTTCAGCAATGTCACCCAGTGGAGGAGAGAGACAGGGGGAATATATCAGAGGAAGGTTCAGCACACTTGGGTCTGACTCCAGGGTCCCATGGGAGAGACATGACGGCCTTCTCTGAGAACCTCTGACTCAAGAAGTCAGAATGATAAAGTTATAATGGAAGTAGAAATGGTGGCAGTGCAGGAGACGCCCTATTGTGACACAGCTACAGTGGGAGAGATGATCTATCTTTGACCCCAAGGGCTGCTGGTTAACTGTATAAACAGCAGGATGGATATTTTTATTTCATGTGGTGGAGTGAAAGTGGTACAGCAGGTACAGTTTTGAGGACAATTCAGCAAGAAGTGGTTCAAGGAAAGACAAAAACTATCTCTCCATTGGGACTCAGCTGTGACTAATCTGACCCCGGTGTTCATGCATGAAAGTGGCTAAAGAATTTCAGTACTAACTTCATTAGTTCATTAGTTTAGGAAAAAATACCTGCAACTATTTTAAAATGTATTTACAGTAAGTTGTTTGTCAGTCAAAGCCACTTATTTTCTGGTTCCAGTCTGTAAATTGTGAGTATTAAATGGGTTTCTGTGAACTAAGTTAAATTGAACTGAATATCTTTAGGGTTCGAACAGACTCTAGGAGACTGTGACTGTTAATTCTTTGTGATATTTCACATTTCTTTTAAGCTTTTATAGACCAAACAATTGATTTGAAAACAATTAGCAGATTGATTTATAGTGAATAAAATCCTTATTTTCAACCCTATATCTTGGAACAGTGTACTTGGGCAAACACCAGTTGATTACCCAGCAGCGTGTTGACATCAGAATGAGCTTATAGGCAGGTTGACATGCTAACACACTCGGTATGTAGTAACAGCAGTGGTTCTGCAGCAGCCTCAAGATGTACAGAAAACTGAGGGAAAAGAAAAGAGTAGAAAATACATTCAAGATGTTATGTTCTGTTGTTGACATTCAAAGCTGTGTTTAATGTAGATAAACTAATATGTCCACTCTTTAAATGAATTCAGAGCACACATGTTTAGTATGAGATTACATACATTTACATACAACAGTTTCCTTACGCAGTGAGTCATCAATCATAAGCCACGGTGAACATGTTGCTGAAGACAGTAGGTGTCTTCAGCAACATGTAATCCTCTTACAGCTTACTGGCTTGTTTTCAATAATCACCCTCCACACAGAACCTCTACATTCAAAAGCCTCTGCATGTTAAGGTTTCAATAATCATGGCAGCCCATTTAGCAGTTTGATTGATTCTATGCCCATTTTTCTATATAGATCTTGTGAAATAAATATATATTCAAATGATTGGTTTTTATGGCAAGGAGAAGAAAGAAGTTTTCATTATGACATGCTGCAGAAAGACTGGTGGTGCAATGTCACTCTTTCAGGCAAGGTTATGAATGCAGGGAAGACTGACAGCATATAAAAAGCTTTTTAATTGCTGATTGATCACAGAGTGTAGCATTTTACATCATATGGGGAGATATTAATGAGTCGCCAAGATGTGTCGCAAAAGTGTGGTTGTTTTTCATTATCCTCTCTGATGTCCTTCTGACCTTGCTTTAATCCTAGAAGGAGAACTGCTGTGTAAACCCTTGATCAAAAGCAGCCCTTAATTTAACCACTAACTAGCTACTCACTTTAAAGTGTAACACGATCATTCTGAATCTCTCTCTTTGCCTTTCTCCTTGCAGGACCGGTGAGCAGCATGTTGGTGACTCGCTTTGGAAGCCGACCAATAGTCATGGCGGGTGGATTGATGTGTGGGGTATCTATGGTAACCGCTTCTTTTGGGAACTCCATGGTTTACCTCTACCTTTGCATTGGCATCATTGGAGGTATAGTGCTTGGATTTATTTGTATGTATTACAACGTCCTGTGTCCTGAAAAGCTTAAGATTCAATCAATCAATCAAAGTTTATTTATATAGCCCAATATCACACATTTTACATTTGTCCCAGTGGACTTTACAGGTGGTACAGAATATGAATACGACACCCTCTGTCCTTGGACCCTCAATTCAGACAAGGAAAAATTCCAAAGAAATCCCACAGTTAATGGGGAACAATTGAAGAAACCTAGCAACAGAGGAGGGACCCCTCTCCCAAGACGGACAGCCGTGCAATAGATGCTGTGTGTAAATTGAAAACATAATACATTTACAACATAGGTAGTCCAACTGCTTGAAAACTCATGTTATTCTGCAGCCCCTATTCGAAGGCAGGGCCTGCCATACCAGGTGCAAACACCCAATGACACTAGGGATCAAACCATACATTTTCCGATTTATAGGACAACCATCTGCTGAGCCCCAGCCGCCCCAATATGGATTTTTTTACCCCATAGCTTACTATTCCCATTAGCCCGGGTTAAGCAGCTCCTAGGTTAGAGAAAGTCTGCATCTTTCATATCCTTCCAGACGCTCTGGTTTGCCAGATCTGCTTCCCCTGCTGATGGTCGGAGGCCCAGGGCATCGGCTCTGGCTCCCGAGGTGCTGTAAGAGCACCTAGGGGACCAGGAAGGTAATTAAGACAGAAGCATCCCTGATCCCAGAGAGCATGGTCTTCCGTGGCCCTTTGTACTCTCCCGTAGGCTCCCATCACGGCCGTCACATGGGGTCTCCCTGCCACCCTGCGAGCCTCATTACCCTGCCAAGGACTGCCGTGAAGGATTAATAGGCCCAGCAAGTGCCTGGGCCAAGTGCGGGGCCCGAGGGCGTGTGTGTGTGCCCGGCTCTGCTCCCCTGCGCCCGGGCACACCTAGCAGACGTGCAGACATATGCTTACACACGTGCAGACTCAAATACACACATATAGTCAAAGTCAACTTTATTGTCAATCTTTCCGTTTGTGTGTATAGACAGAGAGATCGAAATACTGTTTCCCACAATCCCGAATACAAAAACAAATATATATAAAAATATGTATATACCTATATATACACAATCAAAGACACATTTATACATATGCACACATTAAGACCTAAATAAAAGCACAACAATCAATATATACAAAAATAACAGTCACTTTAATATCTTTGAGAATGTACATTAGTGCAACACTGTAGCAGCGTTAAAAAAAACACAGACCGTGAGAAGATTTGAGTCAGATTTATACAGCTCAAGATTTGTTATACAACTCAAGATTTGAGTCAGATACATAAAGCTCCTTGCCCAGATTTTTTATTTTAATTGAATTCATATTTGTTTCCCCTCTGCACCTTTTGCATTTGAAGAGATGGTGGTGGATCCCTTCACTAGGGAGTCATATTGGTTGGTTAGTGTAGCTACTGTAGGTTCAAGGTTCTTTATTGTCAAACTGACATAGCTACAGAGTAATTATGTCGTTGAAAATCTTATGTCACAGGCTTCTCCAACAATGCAACATAATAATAATACAGATAGTAAAAGTAATACAAAAAGAAAAATAGTTCTAAAATAAAGTGAGCATGTGGAATAGTGCAGTACGAGTCTATATAAAAGTTATTGGAATGATATATATTAGATAGTAGATATATATTACTAAGTAGCAGATGAATGTTTTGAAATTGTACTGTAGCTAGTGAAGTTAGCAGTGAAGAGGATTGTGAGAAAACAGGCGGAAATAGAAACACCGTTGATTAGAGGCTGCTCGGGGGGCTCTGGCTGGCTGATGGACTTTACACCATGTGATGATAATCTGCCCCACCAGTAAACACACCAAGATAAGGTGGAACAGGGTGGAGTATTCCTTTTTAACAAGACTAAATGAAAACCAAACGGTCAGAAGTTAACATATGTATATCTACCATTTGTAATCAAAGTTTGTAAATGAGTTTTGAAACTTTTCATTTATAAGGTTTCATCCATTTTACTCATTTATCTTAATCTTCCTTCATTTAATTTGTTTTCAGCTTCCCTCCACACATTCTTAATTAAAAATGATGATGAGTATCTTCTTAACATTTACTGATAAAAGGTGAACTGTTGTAAATTAAATAAAGTCAGCCTAAATAATAATGTATTCCTTCATAAAATCTAAAAGAGTATTGTAAAATCATGATTTATTTGTATATTAGAAAGCTAGTCTACTCTATACATGTTTTTATGAATGATCTGTTTGGACACACTTTGATAAATTCACAAGAACACAAAAGCCCTTTTTCCTTGTGCTTCATCGTGAGACCAGAGAAGATGATTAGATTGACATTTGGAGAGGGAGAATATAGCACCCTTAACAATCTACCTGTAGCTCTTCATGTTCATGGAAAATAAGGTGCTATTAAATTGAGTTTTTGGGTAAAGAGGCAAGCGAGGGAATGTATTACCCAGGCTCTCTAATTTATTTCTACTTAAATGGAGAAATTATTTCTGCAATAATTCCAGCTTTCTGTAATGAGATTTTATCTAGCCGAAGTGAAGTGAGATGGAACCTTAATGAGCACCAAGCAGAATCAGTCTTGATTTAATTTAGAGTACCCTTTGGAGTTTAGGTTCAGGATGGTTTTCTTACTTTTCAATCTCTCTCCACACAGGCTGCGGACTCTCCTTAAACCTCAATGCCTCTCTCACCATCATCAGCAAGTATTTCCTGGTCAAGCGGCCGTTAGCTAACGGACTAGCCATGGCCGGGAGTCCCGTGTTTCTGTGTCTCCTGGCCCCTCTAAACCAATATTTACTGTACACATATGGCTGGAGAGGAAGTTTCCTTATCCTCGGGGGTCTGATGCTCAATTGTTGTGTCGCTGGGGCCCTGATGAGGCCTGTCATTGCGTCTTGTAAGACATCCAACTGTGCACCACAGAAGAAGGTGGAGGACAAGCCAAATGAGTCCAACACCAAACTAAAAGAAAGCTGTATGAAGAGTGCTAAGAGCTTCTTGGATTTGACCTTCTTCAAGGATAGAGGCTTCGTCATTTACCTCATTGGGAGCATAATGTTCATCTTCGGCGCTTATGCACCAATTGTATTCCTATCAGCCTATGCTATAGACCAAGGGGTAGATGAATTCTCCGCAGCCTATCTGCTCACTATCATGGGCTTTGTGGACATGTTTGTTAGGCCTGCCACCGGCCTGATAGCCAGCAGCAAGAGGGTCAGGCCCAGGATCCAGTACTTCTTCAGCTTCGCCTTGGTTTTCACCGGCACGGTCCACTTACTGTGCCCAATGATTACCGTGTTCAAAAGCTACTCCTACACCTTCCTGGCGACCTACGCTGTCTTTTTTGGCGTTGGGTTCGGCATGGTTTTTGCCCTGATATTCGAATGCCTGATGGACCTGATGGGAAATGAACGCTTCCCCAGTGCTGTTGGACTGGTCACCATCATCGAGTGCTTCCCCATGCTACTGGGACCGCCTGCTGCAGGTAACACACTCAACATGCACTATCCATTCAAACACATGACCGAATCCTACTGACTCACTGAAAAATCAAAACCTCTTTGAAAAACACGTCTGGATTGCAAAGTTTGAAAAGCTTAAATACTTACTTTAAAGGGGACCTATCATGCAAAATGCACTTTTGTACGTCTTTTATACATGAATATGTGTCCCCGGTGTTCCAGGGAACTCACCAAGTGTCAGAAAACACAACCCTCTCTATTTTCCTCCATACCCAAATCTCTAAAAAAGGGGCTGCAACGGATCTGATAAAAACTGATCCAGATTTGAACACTGTCCTGACGTCAGGACGGTGGCGCTACGGCTATTGGGCCAACTCCACCAATCAGGAGGAGACAGCCACGGCCATTGCCGTTCGAAAGCGCTGGAGACGCTGTAGTACATATGCCAGGCCAGTAGATGGTGCTGTTCTCACTGAATCTGCCCTTGCAAAAACAGAGCTAAAAAATGTCAAATTGAGCAAAATGAGGCATGGCTAAAATGCATGATCTGTTTGGTATTTTGAAAAAAAAAAAGTATAAATATGCCTTATATAGGTATGGTCCTATACTATGTTATTCAAATATAGCATGATAGGTCCACTTTAAACTCACTTTGGATTGCCTTACACTGATGCTTTCTGCAAATAAAGGGCCAAGAGAAGAGAATAATGTTCACAAACTGTACACAAACATAAGACAAAACTCAGTACACTGAATTTCAGCTGTCTTCTCCCATCCCTATCTCAGTCACTGGGTGTCCATTGTGTTGCATTTGAGCTCTGTCTGCTCGAGCGTCATTTCTCTAAAACAGAGCAGGATTATCACTGATTGATATTACATATAGGATATTTAAAACTACTGTCAATAATTCTAACAATAAAGCCTCTCTCTTGAATCTTTGAAAAAACCAAAAAGATGCCAAACTGTAGCCATGTGATCCTTTTCAAAATAAAGTTATGAGAATATTTAGTGTTTGATATAAAAGTGAAAGTCTCCACACCACCATAACTTGGAAAGATCATTGGCTGTCACAAGATGGACCCTTTAGTCTTCAATGGATCATTTATATATATTTTAATAAATATAATATTGATCATAAAAGAGGGACTCCCTTACCTTATTTGTTTTGTTAAGCATCAACCCAAGCTGAACTGTGTTTGCTTACCAGGACGGCAACAAACAAGACAGTCATTTTTCCTCTGCTGTCTTTATCTCCAGCGTTGGTTTGTCTCTGATAGAGCTTTGGACTGAAGTGTGGGACCGCTCCCTTCATGGTGTAAATAACTGTGTAATCAGAGGGATATTGTTCACCCTCTCTGCTTCATTGCCATTTTCAAGATTAGTGTACTTTTGAAGCCAGCACTCTTCATGGCACATAATGACAGTAACTGGTTTTGAAAAAGGAGTTTCAGAGAAAATAGTTTTAGTGACAATTTTTCAAAAATGGAACAAAAACTCTTTGAATTGAAGTCTTGCTTTTGTCTTCAGTGCCTGCAACAGCTGCCAGAGTGAAACGCAGAAACACAATTCTTCTTGCATTCAAATGTATAAATGCTTTCTGCCGAGGTCACTACGTTGTTGTGAAATAATCTTAAAGATGTTAGGTCCATGTTTTGTAACAAACTGCACAAAAAGTAGTAGCACCACGCAGTGTCAATGCATTTTTAAAGTTACGAGCAAAGTGAGGCTCTTTTAGGGATCTGTTTAAAGCCTGAAAGATTCATGATTTTTTTACATGACAGTTAAATTAGTCATTGAACAATTGCAGTTATATTTACAAGAAAAAGGTAATTATTGAATGTTGCACTATAACCATTTTGATAGAAGCCTGCCATTTTTCCCAGTTGCAGACTTTTAGAAGATGTTGAACAAAAAAAAAACCTTCAGACTTATCTACAGTGAAACAATTGAGAGGGGCAGGACCTGGTCAAGTTATTTATAGAGTACAAACACACTTTTAGCTGAAAAAGCTGTACAACACTTTCTTCCTTTGGTTAATCAGTTTGGGATCAATTCATTTCAATAAGAAGTTTAGGACAATTAATTCAAGATGGTTTGTATCATTACGGATCATTATGTATAACAATAGAGCAAGATAACAAACCAAAACAATACCAAAGTTTCCAACACCACCTTCACATTTTGCTAGCAATTACACTAACCACATGCAGTGTATCTCTAAAATGTTAACATACAGTTTTGGAAGTATGTGTGTTAGCAGTTTCAATAGAATAAAAGTATCTCTCTCAACGATAACGCTAGTATAGAGTAAGTTGAAACTGCTTTAGAAACAGTTGGACACAGAATAAACTAGCTATCAAAATGTATTTAGCTTTTATTTACCACTCAGCTTGTTCATCAATCAATGTGTCAACTTTCAACAGAGTTCTCTGAGTAAGTACACTGAGGATGTATCTGCGCGTGACTTCATCAGCTGTACACATTAACGCTGCTCCTTTGCCTCCACCCTGAGTTTTAATGAGGTGAAAATGTGTAGGCCTCCCCAGTCTCATTTAATAGGGTAAATAAGCGCCTCCCTGCACGTCTAACGCTCTCCTCCAGAGGGCACAATCGTTATGTCTCCCCTAACTATTCTGCTTGTTACTGCACCCCCAAAACCTCCGGGTCAATCCAATTAGGAGGAAGTGAGGTAAGTGGGTGTAATTAGTCTCTTGCTTTGGGTGTTTAATGACGCTCAGTTCAAACTCTCATTGAAGTCCTGTACCTGGGCCATAATTAAGCTGTGAATGCATTAAAAAGAGAAAGAGGTAACTATGCCAGATGGACTTAATTACCCCTCAGCCAATCAAGGGCTGCCTTAATGAGGGTGATGGTCATTGTCGTACACGTGCCAGATGAGTGCTATCAATCAGGTGATGCACGTCCAAAAACAAAGTGACCCCTCCTAGTGTAGCACTGCACAGGACAAGCACACACCATTATATCATTGTTGTTGTGAAGATGGTATTTAGTTTGGTGATAATGTATATCAAGTACAAAGAATGTCTTTTTTTCCTAATTGAATAATGCTGATGCCGAGTAAGAGATATATCTTCCTTATACTGAAGTCATTGAACTTTTGTTAGATCATTTTGCATAACGTTAAATAAATATTCCTTTAAGATGATTCAGATATACGATCTAAAATGGTATGAATTAGGTATTGTAACATATGGACAGATAGACATACTGTCAAGATAGCGCCAGTCAACCATGGACCCACGTCTCGAGGCGGGGGGGTACGAGTGCGGTTGAGACTCTGAAAACCTGGAGGCCTAAATCTGATCTAAACTACATTTGTCACTTTTCTGCTCGATATTTATGGCTCTGAGAATGGGCTTCTCTTCTGATTCGTTTCGGTAGCGGCCGTCCAAATTGCCTTCCCGGAGACGCAGGGAGAGCCAGTGAGGGGGTAATGGCCCTCTGTCATATCCGACATGGCTCTCCTCAAATTGGCTCACTCTCACTTGCGCACACACACACACACACACACACACACACACACACACACACACTCACACTCACAGAAGCCAAATCAGAGTTTAGTCTTGTTCCTCACCTTCAAACTTGTAAAGTGGCCGAATGAAGATCCTATTCCGTGACATATTTGTGTTTTGTTTTCCATGGTGTTCAACTATTCCAAGTGTTTTTTTGTTTAGACATAGTGAGGCATAACATGGGCAAAACTGACACTTGTTTGATGAAATATTCTTATCACGCTTCTATCTTTCTCCACACAGGCTTACTGGTGGACATCTTCGGTGACTACAAGTACCTTTTCTTCATGTGTGGCACAGTGATCTTGACCGGCGGGCTCTTCCTCTTCATCATGAACATCTACAACTATCACATGCTGGAGAAAGAGAAGCCAGGAAAGGATGGAGAGCAGAACCAATTAAACGTAGAGAGCCAGGAGCATGTGAGCGCCTTAGAGGTGGAGATGAAACACACCCCCGAGGCAGAGATGGAACGAAGTGAGCCCGAGGCTAAAGAGGCAAACGGAGTCCAGAGAGAACCACAGCCGGAGAAAAGTGCAGAAACACCACATTAATTGGGAGTCAAATGTAACTCTCCAGTCGGGTGCTTTTTAAAGCTTGCAGGTGAAGGTGACGCAATTAAACGCACGCCAGTCCAACCTGGAAGTTTGGAGAATTGCTCTTAGGTTCTCCTCGGCCGCCATAAGTGTTTTCTGTGGAAGTTTGTGTTGCATAAGTAACACTTCATGTACACCATGACTTATTCACAAAGTCTGTTTTCATTTCATTTTGTCGCATTTTAATTTGCGACCAAATGAAATGAACAGGTGCACACAAGTTCAGTCATTTAACAAGCAACAACAGTGAGAGCCTATAGTCATGCTTTTGACTCTGTTAAGCGGTATGTCAGCACAGAGGTGTGTGCTGACACTGATGGGTATGCCATTAGTCTTGCAATTATTTGTTTTACTTCATTTGTAGTATTTCTTTCATTTCCTTTTAACATTTTGACCGGCTGATGGTGTCTGGGGACGCTTTCACTTTTCTTCTGAGTTGTTTTGATTAATCTTTTAGGGGAACATCCGTGTCTGTACTAAATTCCAGAGCAATCACTTTAAATGTTGCTGAGATATTTAAATTAAACAAGTGTCAGCTACATGGTGACTGCAGAAGTCATAGGCTTTCTTGTGTGGGGACCATGGGTGTTTTGGTACGAAATCCACGCAGTTTCAGAGAATGCACACATCCTTGATATCTGGAAGTGAATGTTTGCACTCTGAACACCTTTCTCTCCCATAATTATCAACACACACTTTGTGTTTTGTCACTCTTGTGATATTGTTCATTAGAGTCTTATGAATTTGTAATTGTTCTTGCGTTAATGCACTTAATCTCAGGAGACTATCACAAGATATTTTGCACTTGCAGTGTTTACATAACGAAACTGACAATTGGTTGAACTCATTAAATACTGTAGCTGCCAGCAAAGACATTGACATATTTAAAGTGTGTCTTGGAACACAACCTGTAACAGAACCTGAAGTTTATATTGACTTAAAATGATTCTCTAAAGTAAATAATACTGTCTTTAAATAGCTGTGAGCATTTATTTAATTTGAATGTTGATGCTGTAACATATTATAATCTACGATGTGTGTTCTGTAATCATTTTCTGTTGACATTTAGAAGTGACATTTGTTTTTTTGGGCGAGAATGGATTTCTGCGCACTGTTAATTGATCTGATGCTGTGTGTGTTTGCATTAAGTGAATGAGTGACTGACAAAGAGTGTGTGTGTGTTTTAAGATAATCCTACATTTAGATAATGTGGAGTTTTCATTTTTAGCTTTTAGATTTGTGTTGTTTAGAATTCATTTAAAGGGGACCTATCATGCAAAATGCACTTTTGTACGTCTTTTATACATGAATATGTGTCCCCGGTGTTCCAGGGAACTCACCAAGTGTCAGAAAATACAACCCTCTCTATTTTCCTCCATACCCAAATCTCTAAAAAAGGGGCTGCAACGGATCTGATAAAAACTGATCCAGATTTGAACACTGTCCTGATGTCAGGACGGTGGCGCTACGGCTATTGAGCCAACTCCACCAATCAGGAGGAGACAGCCACGGCCATTGCCGTTTGAAAGCGCTGGAGACGCTGTAGTACATATGCCAGGCCTGTAGGTGGTGCTGTTCTCACTGAATCTGCCCAGAGCTAGAAATTGTCAAATTGAGCAAAATGAGGCATGGCTAAAATGCATGATCTGTTTGGTATTTTGAAAAAAAAAAAGTATAAATATGCCTTATATAGGTATGGTCCTACACTATATTATTCAAATATAGCATGATAGGTCCACTTTAAATTTGAATTATTAGTTTGATTATTAGAGCTGTGACTACTGACGTCTTATTCGCACATGTGTTAAACGATGTACCATGGATAATATGGATAACACTACTTTGTTAAATTAAAACACATGTCTTCCATTTTATTCATATAATTTATTTTGTCATATCAGAAATGTGGCTTGCCCCAGTAAAGTCAGACCTATTTGTTGTGGGCGATGGTTTTGTTCTGCAAATGAGGACAACACATAGTCCAGTCTCATTTCTTGCATCACTTACTGTAGAATTGTTACATTTCACATCCAAGCAACAAGGTAAATGACACCCAGACATGAGAGAAATGTCGTCAACATCAAGATCTACCACGCAGCTTCTCAATGTTGGTGGCCGTGTCCAATTTTTCACGACAATTAGAATACTGGGGAACAAGTTTGGAAATGTCAGCAGCTTAAGGGCGTGAGCACCTAATGAAGCGGGGCCGGGTGTTCCAGCCTGGTGCTCCGAACTGAGCCCCACACACATCAGCAAATCAGTGGGCCAATAAATTAGTAATGCACGTGCAACACACACACACACACACACACATTGGTGCGATGTCCCATCCCATTGCTGAGTGTGAGGCAAGGTCTTTGGACATGACAAGGTGGAAAGGTACCCCAGAGAGAAGGCGATGGGCGCTGTGACCGGAAATCTGTTAATCATTATTATATTTTCCTCTCCCCTCCTGTTCCCCTCTGGCCTGCTGACCCTCCTCTACAGCCCCCCCCCCCCTGCAATGTGTGTTCTCTATGAACTTCATGACTGTTGTCCTCCATGCTAAATGGTAGAAAAAAAGACTGGGGTCTCCAGAGTCTTGTAGAGTTAGGTGGCATTGCTTGGAGAAAGAATATATAAATAATTGTGAATAACATGCCTTTAGGTAGTTTGCTTTTTAGTTTAGACATACTTGCTGCGGTGTTATGCTGTCAATAAACACAAATCACATCTCACCTTAGGGAGGACAACTCCATTTTAGCTTTGGAAACCCTTGCATTTTGAGTTCCATTGCCTTGCTAAAGACATTAGGATGGTTGATGACATTGTGGCAACATTTAATTGAATTTGAAAATAGCTTGGATCACACTAATTGATATCCATGTCTGCAAATTAAAAAAGGTGGGTTCATTAACTGGAAGAGAAGCTGTGATCCCATTTCTTACTCATGAAGACTACCATTAGAGTTTATCACCATGTGTTAAGGCTAATTGACAGCCATCAGTTAACTGTCAGCCTCTGTTAAACTAGTGGCAAACTTGGGAGTGCGTTATAATAACTATCTCCTCAGGAAATCAACCCGCCTGTGTGCGCCAAACATTTTGACTTCATCACCATCTGCCTTCATAAATGTAGCGAGAGCGGACAAGCGCCTGGTGTCTGGATGTTGGTTATCGGCCCCATCTCCTGACCTTTGGATCTGTGAGAATCAGATCTCAGTTGTTTACAATAGGTGGCTGACCTGATGAATCTGGAGAGGTTTTCCACAAGCGCGGAGTGGGACAAGCGGGAAGGAAAGAATGTGCTCCCAGAGGGCTCAAAGAGCACCGGCATCTATCAACAGAAGAAATTGAATGTGATGTTTCAGCGCGGCGGAGATTAGATAGGCCCTCGGTGTTGAGCAAGCACGGGCTACCAATGTAAAGCTTCCCTCGTCAACCTGAGATCAAACTTACAGAACACAGTGAGAAAGGAATAGTACACACACTCACACACACTGGCCTTTGGTTTTGAAGTACAGATGCTTTGTTATTTGTTCAGGGAATACACTGAGGGATAATGCTAGCTAACACTAGAGATGTGTTATTTCCACCTTTGCCTCGTCTTCATTAGTAGGTGAGGTGTACATGTCCGGTCTAATGTGATTCCCATTGGAGAGTCTGTATTAACATCTGTGAAGAAGTTCATCAAAGAGGGCTTACATCGTTTCATCAAGCGTCTTCTGAAATGTCACAACGTGTTCCTCTGCAGAAGGTGATATTTGTTTTTCACAAATAATAAGTTTCTTTTATTAGGCTCCAAATCTTTGCATGAACATAAAGAACACTTTGAACCTTCTTCATGTATAACTATTCAAAGGTACAGTTAAAGGTAGGGTAGGTAAGTTTGAGAAACCGGCTCGAGATACACTTTTTGTTATATTCCATGGAATGCTCTTAACATCCCGATAGCAATGAATATCTTAAGTGCTTTGACAAAAAATCCATAAAAAAATGTCATCTGTGGAAGCCGTAGTACTGTAAAAAGCACGACCAATCATTTTAGCCGGCCCGGCTAAAATAACTGGATGGCCTACCTGCCTGTCAGCTTTCCATCTGGGCACAAACTTATCTCGTGCCCTCATTGGTCATGTGCGCGTTCGTGTGTGTTGGAGGAGGGGCTCTGTAAGGAAGGGGCAGATTTTCTCCGGTTGTGTATTTTCAAATTCTAGCGATCTCGAGCCAGTTTCTCAAACTTACCTACCCTACCTTTAATTCTGTTATGTGACACATCATTAATTATTCATAATCAGCCCATCTGCACAATGGCGTCTGAACTGTGTATTTTTACATTATGGCTTTGTTTGTCAATTCCACATTTTTTTTAAGTTAACTAATATGCAAAGGCGAGGATGGTAGGACTATCTTTTATGTCATACTTAGGTATGAAATGTTTTCAACTTTTTCTGACATACTTAAATGTGACTGCAACAATTTTTTTCATATGCCAATCGGATCGCTAGATGTAAGCCGCCAATCTTAAGACTCGTCTCTATAGGCCAATCAAATGACACCTGGTAATGGGCTTATCAAATAACTCCTTTTAATGGGCCAATCAAATTGCTCCATTCAATGGGCTAATTAAGGTGCTTATTTCAATAGGCCAATCAAATGACTCGTTTCAATGTGCAGATTAATGACTTGTTTCAATAGGTCCAATCAAATCTATAATATTTGTATCTTTTTTAAATGAATAATATACTATACTTTTACTCTTTTATGATGTTTTTTATAACGTATTAAACACACTTTTAATAATGGCATAGCCGACCTTAGTGAGCTTTCGAGGTGCTGGTGAATGTTTTCACCGTAACACCGAGTCAGGCTAGCTGTCAAATCCTCAAGACAGAGAAAAGCAGTAACTAGAAGAAGATTATTTCTACTTCTCAGGCCTCTCCTGAAATCATAATCCATTTTCATGCTGTCGAAAAAGGTTAGACACCCCCACTTTACCTACTACCCAATTTTCTCCCACTATCTTCTTCATGTGACAAAAAAAATACTTAAATAATGGGTTTTTGTGAGTGTAGAGAGACAAAGTGAAAGATAAGCACAAAATCAAGAGAAGTTCATGCGAAAATAAAGAATGAAAGGGCAGCGAAAAGGGTTAGAGAAATTAAAAGAGGGGGCGTTTAGTACTTGGAGGTATAGCGAACCCCTTTCCATCCATCATGCCTGTCTCTGTCTCTTCTACTGAGCAGGGGAGGTAATGAAAGTAATTTAACGTACATCTATAATTAATATGCTCTCTTTGGGCGGTGTGGTTGGGCTGAACGGGTGATGGAGTGTGTTTATTATGTGTGTGTTAGGGAGCTGGCATGACAGGGCACTGGGCCACTGACATGGTAATTCACCAGCCATCACTCCAGCAGTGCAGAGGTCAGGTGGGTGCGGCTATATGGGGCACCGCCGGCCTCAGAGCTCCCATAGGTACGGGTGGAAAGTGGGTTTTTGTTCTTTCTCGTCTCCTCTCTTTTTCTTTCCTCCCCTCTGAGTCTCCTGAAGAAAGGGGAGAAAGAAGGCACGTAGCAGCGCCCCGGGCCAATGTTCTCCCTCTATGTGTCCTGCTCTTTCTCTCTTTCCGTCTCCCCCTGACTTTCTTCTTCTTGCCTTCCAGTCCACGACTCCTTCCTCTCTCTTATTCCTCTCTGGTCGGTTAGTAAACTCCCTTTCTCCCTTTCTGTCTGGCTCCAATGCTTTCTCTTTATTTCTCCTAATATTCTCTCCTCCTCCAAGAAAACGTATTGAATTTCATTTTTTTTTAAAGGCAGACTGCTTTGCACAAACACAGTTCAAACCCGACTGCCCTCAGTGCTGTCTCCTTTTGAAACTCCCTGCTCTTTGAATACTATCCGTTTGAAGAGAATGCCCTCTGCATTTCTTTTACACAGTCACTCAAGTGGGCTCGCACACTCTTTTGCATTTTCACACAGACACAAACACGGGCACATTAGGC